TCTCTCTCTCTCTCTCTCTCTCTCTCTCTTTTGCGCGCGCGCACGGACATTTGCATCTGACAGCTCCTTCGTTCATACTCGCACCGGGATTTCTTTTCAATGTTTCTATTTGTCCCGGTGTACCTTCCTATGTTCTTGCGGAAGATTCCTTCTCGTTTTCCACATTGGCGGGCTGCTCAGTTGATGCACACATGAAACTGTTGAATTGAAGACGTGAGTTCAAATCCACGGCGATCACTACAAAATAGTTCTGATTTACAAAGGATCCGATGGCGTGCTGATGCCTCGGCCGATTCCGCCATTGAATACTGCGCGTCCCTGATGTTCTGAAACAAACGCCCTCGATGTCGCCCGGGCCAGATAATGGGGCGGTCTCCGGGGTGGGGCAGGTTCATATGTTGTTTATAATGAACAGTTGGAAGTTAGAAAACAAATTATAATAATAACAATTCATTGATTTCTTGAAAATACCATAGATAGATAGATCGATAAATCTATAAATCTATCTATCTATTGTATTTATTGTATGATTCTTTTTTTGCTTTTGTTATTTTCAATTTATTTTGATATTATATCGGTATCAAGATAGGAATAAATATTATTATTACTTTTGTTTTGGTTTTTATCCTATTTATGTATTGTATTTTGACTAAGATCTTCAGTGAAAAGTTGTTTGTGTTGCAATTTTTCACACAGCAGTGACAGCACACGTTTTTTTAACTTTGTCTAGTTGAGCTAGTATTTCGTGTTTTAGACTTCTTCTTTTTTTTCTTCTTTTTTTTTTTTACATTGTATGTGGGGACTACCCGAGACACTGCTGCAACCTCCCCGCCAGACCTACTGTGGTGGGGTATCTGGGCCGGCGGGCAGAGCCAGTCTGGACGTCTCCATGATATCACCCGTGCATCGGGTGCTGTGCGGTCACAAGGTGTATAGCATCGAGAGAGCTCCTGAAAAAAAGTAGTGTACTGAGGGGCGTCGAGGGTAATAATGACTTTAATGTTTGTGTACAAATGAAAGAGCATCGGAGTCAATTGAGTAAAGTGAAGAGTTGCTGTTGTTTGAAAGTGCACACAACATTCTGCAAGCGCCTCTTTCTTTCCTCTTTCATTTTTCGTTTGCAACCCCAAATTTCTGCTGAAGAAACAGAATATGACAGTTTTGTGTAATATAATCCCTCCTTCCCCACCAACACTTCCTCAGGGCGTACACTTAACCCAAATTTATCCCTCTCTCCTTTGAACTCTCTCTGCCAGCTCTCTCTGCTAGCTTTCTGTTAAGCGTGTAATCAGCACGAGTTTACACTTAACCCAATTGTGAGATGACCGCAATTGCGACCAAACAATGCACTCACTCAGGGCATACTGACACGAGTACTCCTTCTACTAAGCTCTGGACGTGATTGCGACCACATTCATCCAGGCCCTGCCCTGGTTGCGGTTGGATATATTCAGGAAAATGTGAAACTCAATAGAGACGAGATCGCGATCACATTCATCCAGGCCCGTGATTGCGACCACATTCATCCAGGCCCTCAGTATCAGGATTACCATATCGCCCTCAGAAGAGTTGGACTTGTCGTGGCTCGAGGCCGAGGTCGCCGGTTCGAATCCGTGCTTTGCAAGGACAAAAGCCTTAAAGCCTTGAGCCCAGATGTACGCATCTATACCTTCTGCCGCATTCTACTCTCGCCCGCACCTACTCTGCGATGTGACGTTCTCCTCTCAGCGGAAGCATCTTTACTTCGTCCAGCACCCTTTTCTTCGACGCTTTTGTGCGCGCTTGGCGGAGTTCTTCGAGGTCACCATTTTCATTTCGAGGTAATCAATTTCAACGAAGCTTTTCTTGTCAGCGTCTTTATCCTCCTCATGTGCGGTTCTTCTTCGGCATGTCTTAGATGCGATACCAGATGTATGAACTTGTATTCTTCTCTTTCCATGGCTGGATGCTGTTTGTCATAACGGACGTTTGAGCGCAAAGTATATATAAAAAATACAACATCAAATCAAAGAGCTCTTTCTGCCCACCCGGATGTACACTGGAGCAAATGCAAGGCAAGCAAGCGGCGGACACCAGTGACTGCACACTGAATGTAAGCGAAGAAGACGGCTGAGCAGAACACTGCTGATTAAGCACAGCAGAAACAGGATCGCACCGCCATGATGACAGCCAGTCAACTAAGTGTTGACCAAATTCCTGCTGATCACAGCCCTGTTGACCAGAATCTCAGCTGACCAGAATCCCTGTTGACCAGAACCCCTGTTGACCAGAACTACTGTTAACTAGAATGCATGTTGACCAGAATCTGTGTTGACCAGAACCCTGTTGACCTGAACCACTGCTAACTAGAATGTGGGTTGACCAGAACCTGTGTTGACCAAACCCCTTTTTAACCAGAAAATTATCGAACGCGATATGGTTGATTACAGCACCATTGACCAGAACAGCATAGGTTTGGATTCATGAGTGACACACAGATTAACAGAGATGTGTGTGTGTGTGTGTGTGTGTGTGTGTGTGTGTGTGTGTGTGAGAGAGAGAGAGAGAGAGAGAGAGAGAGAGAGAGAGAGAGAGAGAGAGAGAGAGA